ATGAAACTGTTTGTTCGGAAGTATAAGCTTAGAGTATCGTCTTTGTCATAATTTTAACATGAAATCAGTGTAAACTCGTTTTCTGATCTAATGTATTAGTTTACTTGTCAAGAGTAAGTGAAGAAGTATACCTAGTCTTTCATTTAATTCAACTTTTTTAAGTTTGTTGCCACTAATATATATTTTGAGTAGTACAGTTGTTCTCATTCTCAAAAAATTCTGATTTATTCATTGCGATATCAGGAAATACTGGATTCAGACTGGTGCTAAGTATACTAACCTTTGTGTCATAAATACTAATTGCAATCTGTTCACAAAGTTAGTTGATAGGATAGTACAGTACGTCGTATTCTATAGTAAATTGTTCGAAAGCAATGGTGAAGACGGGTGGTACACTTTGGAATATTTGTAAAGTATTTGGTTATTTAACCTTAATGTCGATGATGAATGATCATTGGAATTCTGATGCCTATTGCATCTGCCTTGGAACTCTTCAGTCGACTGCTTCAATAATTTATTTAATCAATCTGTATTCAATGGTAGTGTTAAGATTTTTGGATGACTTACAATTATACCATAGCACATAAAGTAACTGAATATTTAAAAAAGTGTATTTGCATTCATGAGATTAGACAACATTCTTAGTGGAATATATTACTAAACAACTTGAGTAGTTAGGAATCACTCAAGCCGACTCGTAGATTCCTCTAGCCAGATAGAAGTGATCTAAACACTGGAAGGCCGTTTCGCTTGTCTTGGGCTGAGCTCATCAGTGATGTACGTGGACAGATTCAGGTCTTAGAATCAAATTATTTCAGATCACCTGAGTCTGTCTAGCTGTCTGACTTGCACAGACTGGTTGGTATACTCAGTATTGGATGATCAGTTTACATATACTTTGCAAATTGCACTTTCCACGTTGACATTTCTCACAGTTGAGGAGTTATTCAACTGCCCAATGATGATGTCAACACGGTTGCCGTTGGGTAACTACCCCTCATCCGAGATCACATGATATGATCTGTAGCACAAAAACTTCATGAACTAACGAAGTATAATACCTAACAACCTGAGTAGTTAGGAATCACTCAGGCTGATCTGCAGATTTCGTCTGTTAGATTAGTATTCTTAATGCCTGAAGTATACAAGAATTTGGTTAAGTTTTGTACGCCTATCTTTTAAGGCGTTCATTGCAAACAATGTTTGATATTAGACAAATCAGGGAAAAGAAAAGATACACAACAGTAATCTCCTGATAGACTTGGTTTTCCCTATTATGTTACTAAACATGTATCCCCGACAAAATGTTTGCTATAAATAGAATCGTTTTTTATCCTCTGCTGTCAGGATATTAGAACTATTTGACCGAGAAATAGCTTGGAAGCTGCTTCAACACTACGAAATACCAAAAACTTTTATCAACCTCGTTTAACAGCTATATGACGACGCTGCATACCAAGTGGTTCACAATGGAAAACTCAGTGATGCCTCCGAAGTGAAGACAGGAGTGAGACAAGGTTGCCGCCTACTATCACCGATCATCTTCCTGATTGTGCTCGACTGGATCATGCAACAAACTGTGAGGAGCGAGAAGATGGACATACGCTGGCTGAACCGATAGAAAGAGCCTAGAAGATTTGGATTCCGTCCATGATGATTTTTGTCTAATGTCACACAAACTCTAAGGTCTACAGGCGAAAACTAATAAGTTGGCAGAAGAGGCAGCGAAGACGAGACTTCCTTCACGTGAACGTAGAGAATACAGAGATGATGAAGATACCCACCCAACAACAAGCACCAATCATCATGAACGCGAGAAATGTAAAGGAAGTTTTCTCTTTCGCCTATCTAGGCAGGACAGCATCGTTTCAACAACAGGCGGCGGCACAGCTGAGGATGTCAAAGCCAGGGTCAGGAAGACAGCAAGACAGACCTTCGTCAGTCTGAAATCAGTGTGGGGATCTACTGCAGTCAGCATAAGGAACAAGGTCGAGATTTACAACACTAATGTTAAGTCAGTGCTTCTATATGGTTCAGAGAGTTGGTGAGCTACGAAAAGCATTTCCAAAAATTGCAGATATTTATCAATAGCTGCCGCCTACGCTCGCTCGATATTGAAGATCAGATCAGATGGCCAGAAAGAATAAGCAACAAAGATCTCATTCTGGATGGCAACGAACTAACCATGAACCTGTCGCCCAACAAATTTATAGAAAAAAGTGGAGACGGATTGGACATGCACCGAGAAGACTGTTTGCGGACCACGTGCCAGGTCCTGGAGTGGAACCTGCATGAGAAACGGCGAGTTAGGCGTCCGAGGATGACATGGAGGAGATCGTGTTTGGAAAAAATGATAGCTTGTGGGTAGTGGTACAGCCAGGTTGGATAGGCTGCAGAGAAGAGATTGAAATGGTGACGTGCTAGTGAAGCCCTATGTTCCACTAGGAACCCAAGGGACAAATAATAATGGATTTTCCGTCTTCTATATATAGTTGAATTGCCCAACTTCTGTAGGTAGATGAGCTCCTGTGTGGGTGCCTCGATGCTGCCGGAGTTTCATGATATATTCATCCTGATGACTAGCAGCAGAATCCAGGACGCACCTTTCATCTTGTTTAGGACTCGTCAGCTGGATGTACCTGCACTCTAGTGAGTTATGTTGTGCGGGCACACCCAACTGATGAGTCCCAAGTAGGGCGAAACGCGCGTTTTGGATTTCGCTGCTAGTCACCAAGGCGAATACAACTATCACAAACTGAAGTCCTATTCTTCGATACTTGATAATACACAATTGAATACGAGAGTAGATTACCTAATTTCAGTCTTTCTGAATTATTTTTGGGCATACTAAACATACTGAGAAATGATTTGATAAATTAAACTCATCTCAAACATTGAAATCAGTTTCAAGTTGGTATTCATCGCGGACTGACATCACTTGTGAAAATCACTGAAAATCTGGGAGCACTGGACAGCTGTTTCCTGCTGGTATGGAACTCCTTGGCAGTACACATCCATAATCCGACCGATAGCTACTACCTTTACGTGATCATCGAGCTTTCGTATGGCAATGGCCCAATGAGCTATACTGGTGGGATACTTTTTCTCTCGAGGTCCTACCATACCAGAAAGGTCTGTTGGATAAAGGTTAGAGAAAAAGCAATTACCACTATAGCGTAAATTCCTATGCCATGATTAAAGTCTGAGGACGAAGTCATACCACTGACCGAACGGGGTTTGACAGCAGTAAGATATTCCCCCTGGAGGACCAACAGTCCCGCACTGATGCTTTCTTTCCTATGAGAAGGGGATCTAAAAAAGGTCAACCACAAAAGCAGCACACTCCCACCTACCTCCCTCGGTATGCCGATGCGTGTGACGGGGATTCATGGATTAGAAAGCAAAAAACCAAAACCCTAAACTTACCAAAAGGTCATGTATGACTGACCAGAAGCGGATGTCCCCTAGTATCTACGGTCTCATAATATCCTTTTTTACCAGGTATCTCAAGAAAAACTAGCTTTCCACAGTGTGGGCAACTGGGAAGTGTCTACCACCCTGCAGGCTTCCAGAATTACACAAAACAAACACCCATGACCCTATATTTTCAATAATTCTCCAACTGATGTTATTTCGTGTTGAATACCAACTTGAAACCAATAAATAAATCCTGACATGCCTCTAAATTGAGTTATTGAAATTAATTTTAGTGGAATGATACGATGTTTATCAAAATCCATCATATTCTCGGTTTATACAACTATCATTGAAGACATTCCACGGAAATATCCTTACGCTTATTATAAGTTTACTGAAAACTATTCAACATACACAGTCAATTCTAAGACAAAACTCTCCAATGGAACATGATAAAGCAACCTGTTTATCTGCAACAAAGTCTGAATAAATGGTACATTATTGGATACACAAGTATTTAATCGTGGTGTGTTCACTTGTGAAATATTCTATTTTTAGAGAGAGGTCTATGCAACGTCCAAGTCCTACATGGCTTTTTTTTAAATATATATTAGTTAGTGAGTAGATCGGTGTAGGTATTTGGTTTACAGTCATTGGGGGATACATGGTATAAAAAAAGCAGCTTCCTAGGATGAGGGTTGTAAAAGCCAGATGATAGAAAAAACCCTTTAAATAATACGTATAATCGACCAAAAGGTGCTAGTACTACCACTTTGTTTTTTTACAAGTTGGTATTCATCATGAACTGACATCAGTTGGAGGAACATTGGGAACCTGGGAGCACTAAACAACTGTTTCGTCTTAGTATGGGGCTCTTCAGCAATACGCACCCTCGAACCCGCGACCTTCAGGTTCCGTGGCCAGCACGTTACCATTTGACTATTGGGTAGGAGTCCAATGGTCCATATTTACAACTTCTGTCAGTTCACTGCATAGCCCGACCGCCACACAATGTCATTGTTGAGTATTTGTCCTCACAGCCACCAGGTTTGCCCCACTGGTCATGACTTCTCATTGGAACCAAGCGAATCATCTCTGAAAGCTAGTCACCAATAAGGACTACCACTATGTCGCCTCTTAAACCCTCAGCGTTTCACTACTGTATGGATTTTCATCATTCTCATTTAAACTCTTAGTTGATTTTCTCTTATTACAGTGTTTCTTGGGATTCGGTCACTAGTTAAAATATGCATTGGCGCGTAGTGGAAATAGTTATTTGCAAACTCTAGAGTTGATTATAAATAAGGTTCAGACGATCGTAAAGACCAAAGAATTGGTTATAAGACAGTGATTGATATTTTCTCGCTCTAATGAAATATACTACTTAAGTTATTCAGTAGTAGTACTATATTTTGTCATTTCATAACACTTCTGTGATCTTTGCTTGTTGACTGGCACCATAGTTGAACAGTTGAAAAACTACTCATCTATGACAAATGTCGAAATAATATTCATAATGTGAAATAGCATATCTGTTATGTTTTTATTAATGGATAATTTTTTCTATTTTCTCCTTTCATTAGGTTGTTTAATGCCATTTGGAATAGAATTGACACCTTGGCTGGCATCTGCTGCAATGGCAGCTTCATCTCTTTCTGTAATTTGTCTTTCATTGTTATTGAAACGCTGGAAAAAGCCAACGTCAGCATCGATTGTCTGCCCAGAATACGTGAAATTCCTTGCTTCACCACGGTCATCTAATATAAAGGTACATAATGTATGACTTTATTCTTTGTTATCTCCACTAAAAATAAGTTTTTATATTTAAATAAGTTTGAGAAGCTCACACTTATTTTGTTTTTATCTCCGCCATCACACTCGATCGACTCTTCATCTTTTATATGCATTGATCAGTTTCGTGTATAGACTAAGTTTGCTGTAATGAAGTCGCGAGAACTCCCATGTAACGTAATTATATTCCTTAGTTTATTTATTGTCTGAAAAATATTGTGACTCAGAAAATTTGCAAAAGTTACAGTTGAGCGATATCACATTGTTGGCATCATCTTCAGTATAGAAAAATTTCTCAGCCTTTTAATTTACATATCAACTCTACTACTTGTGTTTCATGATGTTTTACTGTTTTTATTATCTTTTGATCATTTCGTCTACTAACCTCACTCTTTATTAGTCAAAATTATTAAATGTTAGATGGAAGTTTAACGTACAAGACATCACCATGATATCTATCATGACTTTGCTGGCAAAGAGAATTTGCCTAGCGCTTAAACTACATATGCTAGGAGACGATTAGATTGGTGAGACATAAGCTTAGCTGAATGCTGATCTACAAAAATATTAGTCAATCTTTGTGTTCGTCAGAGTACTTCTCTCTATATTATCCCTTTCTGTGACTCTCAAACAATTAATCTATAGTACATTTCTATAACGACTCTTAGTGATATGTCTACAGTAACCGGTGGTTAAGAATCAGTCAGTCATTAGAGAAACTCATGAACTAAGTTTTAAGAACCATTTTTCTATCCCTATATAGGAAAAATAGGATGTCTCTACCCTGGTAACTTTGTCACCTGTATCTATCACGTGATGATAGAGGGAACTTGTTTTTAACTGTAAAGTATCATGATATTTATCTATTCTCACACCTTCATATCTTGCAATAATCGAAAAGTTATTTTAACAATTTCTTTAATAAGCCAATAAACAAGTGTGCAAACAAATAGAGTTGCGTCGGTAAACTTTTCGTCCCTTGAATCTCTTACTGAAAATGGATGGTATTCGTAAATCAATCAATAAATGTATTATGATCAAAACTTCACTGAATAGTAACACAAATATTAGACGCCAAATGGAAAGTTGTTATAAACACATGGTGTAATTTTATTTGTCTTAAACACTCGTACTCCACAAACTGAATGACTGATTTGTTGGATTAATACTTCTCTTTCTAGTATGATAACTTTCGAGCAATTGATTACAATTTTAACAGAATCTCAGCATGTTTCTCATTCCTCTTTCTTCTCTTTCACTGCTCTTTCTTCCTTCATTTGATTACTTTATTTCTTGACGTACTGATATGAGGTATGTCAACTTGAACTGTTACGCAGCTCCATGGGCCTGGTCCTATTTTGATATTAATGATGATTAGAATTAATTTAACATTATCATAATAGTTGACAGTCTCACCTTGAGAAACCTCCACGCTGGTAACTCGATCCTGATACCATATTCAGCAAAAGCTTTCTTCACTGGCTGTTATACTACATTTCAATTTTTATTGAACAGCTGTATAACTCGTGTACGTGAAATCCTATAGGGAACATTATATTGGTAAGTGAAAACAAGAAAAATGCATATTCAGTCGACTTTTTATCAACTGACTCTATTTTAATCTTCAAAAAGATAAAAGACTTCAGTGAACAAATTTGTTTTCAGCAATATTATGCTCAGCAGCTGTAAAATCCCATTTAAATATTATTATTATTATTATTATTATTATTATTATTATTATTATTATTATTATTATTTGTCCCTTGGGTTCCTAGTGAAACATAGGGCTTCAGTAGCACGTCTCCATTCCACTCTCTTCTCTGCGATCTTTTGAACCTGGCTCCACCACTGCCCACAACCTCTCATTTCTTCCTCGCACGATCTCCTCCATGTCACCCTCGGACGCCTAACTCGTTGCTTCCCATCTGGGTCCCACTCGACGACCTGGCCTGACGCATGATGTCCCCAGTCGGTCTTCTCAGTGTATGCCCAATCCATCTCCACTTCCTTCAACTGCATATTTGTTGAGTGATAGGTTCTTGGTTGGTTCGTTCCCAGAGCCCCTTGTTGCTTATTCTTGTTATTCTGGCCATCTGATGTTCAGTAACGAGCCAGTGTAGGGGGCAGTTGTTGATGAATGTCTGTAGTTTGTTGGAAATGCATTTCGTAACGCGCCAAGTCTCTGAACCATATAGAAGCACTGACTTGACATTGGTGTTGAGAATCCCGATCCTTTTCCATACGCTGAGTGCAGAAGATCTCCACACTTGTTTCAGGCTAATGAACGCCTGTCTTGTTGTCTTTCTGATCCTGGCTTTGACGTCCTCGTCTGTGCCACCTGTAGTTGAAACAGTGCTTCCTAGATAGGTGAAGGTTACATCCTTTAGGTTTCTCCATTTGATGATAATTGGATCTTGTTGCTGTTGTTGGTGGTGGTGTTGTTGGTGTTGGTTGTGTATCTTCATCACCTCTGTCTTCTTTACGTTCACTTGAATGGTGTCCCGTCTTCACTGCCTCTTCTGTCAACTTGTTAGTTTTTGCCTGTAGATCTTCAAGTTTGTGCGACATTGGACAAAAGTCGTCGGCGAATAAATATGATTACTATGCGTATTTATTCCTAAAGAATGTCAACATCTGCCAACTGGTAATGCTTATTAGGTTATGGCCGGAAAAATAATATAGAAATAGAAGTTACATAAAGAACCTAAAAGTATTTGAGAACGTGAATAAGCAACGGTAAGTTGAAATTAGGAATTCAAGAATCCACAACAAAGTGAGTAAAACAACTGTCAGTATGGAAGAGAATAAGAAATTAATAACAGCTAAAAACACTTATACCATAAAGTTTGTTGTGTTTAAACAGTGGAAAGTTTAAAAATTATAAAGTGAAGGATAGTAAAATGACGACTTTCCTTTCTATTTTTTTATTGGTATAGTCTCAGTAAGCTACTGCAAAGGAGTCTTTTGAGACTATGTTCGTTATCAATTAAATGTTGTAATATAAAGTTATTGATTTGCGTTTACCTTTACCTTAGCCGTGTTGGTATCGATATTAGACAGCAATTATGTTTAAATCTGACTGCCATAGCTACTGAAGATGACATCGCCGAAAATAAATTTCTCCGCTGAAATCTTATTTGATGACTAACTCTAGACACGCTAACCATCTTATCAGTCTATGAAATTCTCATAAAAACTTACTTATCACTTGAATAATTGATATATTTATGTTTGTTTTTCCTAAACAACATGTTTACTTCAACTAGGTGAAAATCAGACAAAGAAGAGATAGCCAGTTGTCTTCAGGACTTCATAGCCTAGCGGATAAGGCATTATCGTTACGCAACAGTTGGCGTAGTGCACTTACTCGTCGTAGTCCACCGATACGCGGTAATATTGAAGCAGTTGATAGTCAAAATTTATTGGATACTTGCGGTGATGGAACTGAATCTGAAGATGAACTAATGAAAACTTCAATGATGGATAGATCAGTTATTTCCTTACGTGTTCAAAATCATGCTAAAGAAAATTCATTTTTTGAAATGCGAAGAGTTTGCAGCTGGAATACTCGGAAGTGTCGATAATCTCTTTGTCTCAATCACTTCCAGTATAAGTGATATGCTCCGAAAGTTCATTCCCCATATGAAAGACTCTGTGTTTTTTCGATTACTCCACAGTTTTTCTATCGGCTCTTCAATTAAGCATCTTACAGTCTTAGGAAATAGTTTAATTTACCAGTCATTTTCATGTCTTTGTAATTGGCGTAATTCTACAATCCATTTGCATTTTGTTTCCTTTCTATTCTCTTCTGTCTATTTCTGTTATGGCCTCCAAAATGTCAGTTAACAGTTTATAACCCTACGCACTCTCTGTCGAATATTTGATACAAAACTTAGTTTTTATCCGTAATTCCCCTGTGTTTTTCAATATGTGATTTTCAATAACTACTGCTTTGAAGATAATATTTTGTTTCCATATATATTTTTTTGTTTTTTCGAAATTTTTTATAAACTTATTTCTGTCTGTAATAATAATGATAATACTTAAGCGATGTTTTTTCTTCAAATATTTAAACAAAAGTGATTGTGCATTATTAAACTATGATGGACGATGTTTTCTGACATGTGAAACTTGTGAATATCGATAACAAGCAGTAATCATTAAAATTTCTCGGCTTTCAATTTATGAATGGTTCTAAAGTTAAAGTAGCTGAGAAGAACTAATGTAGTAACTTAGAACAGTCAGTAAGGACTCCAAAGTGTAGAAATTAGTTGCGAAAACTGTGTTAATTTATGTCCTAGGAAGGTTTACATATGTAGCTGGAGTTCATTCGTCTAAACAGTTAAGTTTCAATTAATGAGTCACGGGTCCCAACTCCACTACACCTAATAGTTTTCGAGCAGCTAAGTGGTATTATATCTCTAAACACAACAGGTGTACTTCATTGCCCAGTGCACAAATCTGCAAGTAATACCAGCCCCAATTTCAATTGAGAGCTTTTCTCTTTCATACACTGATTTGTCAATGAACATCAAGTTCTGATCCAGTTTTATCAGTCAAGTTATCAATATTGGCATCACATTATGAGACCCATTATCACGTTTCACTTTAGTTTATGTTAGGTATCTGAGAGTGATCAGTAGGAAATTCTGGACCTCGAGTAGACTCATATCACCCAAGGAATCCGAACCCGTGTCACCTAGTTCTGACTTATCATTATAAATGTGTCAACTCCAAAGCAAGTTTTTTAGAGTATTCAGTGAAATCGCTATGTTTCCTATCTCCGACATAAATCCCTATCACAAGTACATAGCTAAATTACGGACTTGCCTTACGACCAAAACTTGACCATAGCCGCTGACTTGAAATCTTAGCGATACATAAACTGCCTAAGTTCACATGCGTGTCAGTGCCATTTCAGTCAGCACGCTGCATCCTTGTGACTGCATAGTATATAAGGATCTTTTTCAGTCTAGTGCGGCAATAAATGTAGTTGCCTAAAATTCTTGCAAAACCCGACGCTTCCTGATAACTCTGGCACGAATTCCTGGAACAGTTACAATACGCCGCCTAAAACGCTAATACTAATATTGGTCGTGTGATCTACATTACTACGTCCTTCGACCCTTCACGCACAATCTTCTATCCTTCAGACACTGGCGTGGTTTCATGCATGTATCAACCACTATGAGAAGTGTAACAGGTCATAATAACATTCGTCACCATGCCCAAATAAATCAACCGCATACAAACTAAGGTAAGCGGGAAGATCATATCAGTCGACGGACTTTCTAGGATAGACTTACCAAAATGATACTTATTTCAAGCCTGTTGACGGAATCCAGGAACATTTGTCAAACGATAATCGCTGCAGGGACGAGTCATCTTTTGAAGAAGCAACTTCCATGAGGATGCGAAATGGCGGCCTGCTTAAAAACTAGGCTACAAACAGTTTACCGTCCGTTCAAATATAAATTTTACGCCTACCGTGTACTTCCATTTTAGTCTATTTATTAGAAATGTCACACAGTGAAACAGTATCACCTACTGGCTAACGTTTCGGACATAATTTATTGTTGCTGAGTGATGATTGAAGGTGAAATGAAAATTTGGACCATGGCTTTCAGCTTCAATCATCAGCCAGTATCAATAACTAGTCTGCCAAACCACGGCTATCTCAGATAGCCAAAATGATAATTTGTTTTCCACACTGACATCAAGCAACTTCACAACTCTGAAACAGAGTTTACACAGTCCTAATTTTCTCTCTTTTTGACGACAAGGAGGAGAAACATTTTCCATATATCTAGGCGCAGAATCATTTCTATTGTATGTATCTGATGTTGATTCGATGAACAAAGATTCAGTTTTCAAACTCTCCCTAAACCCAACTAAGTTGGTTTTCATCACTGTTGCTCTATCCCACCCCATTGTGAGATTGTGCATAATCGCATGGAGAGCTATATCCCAGCTTTCCCTGAATTTCTTAACTTATTGGGATCTGATAATCTTGATTTAGCTAGGAACTTGCGTTGCCATTCAAGTTGATCCTGGTAGATGTACTCCTGAACGTTTTTTAAATGTCGTTGCCCAACATTCTCGCCAAGCAATTGCCACACTTGCAAGGTTTACCCTACGCTTCCTGATAACTGCGGCACGAATTCCTGGGACAGTTAAAATATGCGGCGATACTAATATTGGTCATGGACGTTTTACAGTCTTTCACGTGCAATCTTCGATCCTTCAAACCTTGGCATGGTTTCATGCATGTTTCAATCACTATGAGAAGCGTAACAGGTCATAGCATCGTCAAGCAAGTCAGACGCAAGAAGACTTCCGCTGTGGTCAGCAACAGACATATAAGATTCCTACCCAATGATCTTCCACGAGTCTTCTTGTGGTGTGACCACTGCATTGGATTTATCGTCAGCACAGACATGTGAACAATGCATTTTACTGGCATTGGGGAGGCCTGTCTGTGGTCTCCTCTTTACAACACCATGTATCTTCGGCACTCATGTGAACCTGGTGGAAATTGACGTGCGCAACTTCCGACAGAGTCGATAGGAAGTTGTACTGCGGCAACCTTTTCAATCCTGAACTTTACCACGCGAGTGCCACTTCTTTCACGTGCGATAGCTATTCTCAATACTTTTCTGCATGAAATTCGTGCAGTTTTAATCTAAAAAGACGAACCAATGCATCATTCGCCAACATAGTGAGTAGGAAAGCCAAACCTCAGCATAGGAGGTGAGCGAAACAAAAGATGTTAAGTGAGCCGACCCTTATCAACATTACTGTGCATGCGCCACGGGAATTGTATTTCTTGTTACTGGTGTATTTAGCGAGCAATTGAAACCGGAAAACCTTTTCTATATCTCTTCACAAAGCTGCATCATCCTTAGTCCCCTAATTTTCCCAATGTTCGCAGGATCTATGCATGTTTTCACGAAATTCCCCAAGAGCACGCTGAATTATATGTACTTCCTGGAAATTTCCTCAGCGTTCACTAGAACTTCCCAAATACGTTGTTTGGGTGTTTTCAGTCAATCAAAAAATATCTTACAGAATGACTACTTTATATGTCGGAAACAATACACAGCTGGGATACGAATAACTGTGGTAACTATAACCGTTATGAATCCCATCTTATAAACAAGAAGTGTAATGTGGATAATGAAAAAGGGTTGAAGAAGAGTTATAGGGTCCCTTCACTATTACAACTAGAATTAAACAGTTTGCGCTTTTTCATGGGTTCGCTTGTCTAACTGTAAATGTAACCCTAACATTGTCACGTCACTGTGACTTAACATATGCTTCATTATCTGCATGTGGCTACAACCATTTTACAGGTTATGCGTCTATACAGCTCAATAATACGTCCATAATGGCATACAGCAAAGCCACTCAGGGTTATGGAAGTCAGGAATACTGTTTACACCTAAATAACCACTACTTTATAACAATGACACAGGAAACTGTATTCGACAGGAATCCTTTAAGAAATATAAATTCGAACGTATCTGGGATGGTGCGGGAAGTCTTAGTTTGTACTCCACGGCCTTAAACTAATAATGTCGGTTAGTTGCCTCTTATAGCAGGAAAAATCCGAAGTTTATTACACATTTCATATTACTGGCTGACCGACAGAATCAACGTAAACCTCGCACACAGGTGCATAGGCTCAAGTTGCCATCTGGGTAGGTCAAGACTTCAATAGCATCGTCGTGTCCTAATCACTATGGACACATTTCAGTCACATTCGTACATACACTCATGTAGTAGCACCGGGGTGGGCCACGAAACTCAAGTGTACGCGTCAACCACGTTGGTTTTTGCTAACGGTACGTTCAATCCGTGGCATAATGAATTGTGCCGGTAAATTCACCCATGACTAGTTCAAAATATATTCAACTGGCTTCAGCATGTTTGCAAAACTGGAACTCGTGCCCTCACAGTGTAAGTTATCAGCAGTTCTTTGTCGTCCCTGAAGCCATCTACTTAGATACCTCGCGATCAAATCCTTAACCGTGATCAAATTTAATTTACAACCGTAGTTTGAGAAAATAAGCGTTTCCTTTAAAGTTTACAAGCTGTTGAGAAGCTCTGTCACATCCCCAAAGTCATTTTTACTTTGCTCGCCACTGGCTTTAGTCATCTTAAGAATATGACGGAGGAGAATGTGAAAACATAGACGGCCAGAAGCAGTAAAGACGGGTTATTCCAATCGGAGGCTTCAAACGCAAGAAAACCATAGATTTTCGGTCGTGAAAAAAACGGACAGTGTGCTAGTCGCCGAAACGCACACTTCACCGGAAAACTTCAGTGACTGTCTGAAGGGTATAGGTTATTGCCACTTGTATTGAAATAAATATTCAGAAGCTGCCTGCGTAGTATAAAATATCCGCATGCACACAACTAGCAGAAAAAGACGGTCGACATTTAACTTGAGTTGTGTCACCGAAAATATAAATTCGGATGGCGAAGAGCTTTTATTTGGGGAATCTTTTGATAGGTATAACATTCAAACCAAAGCTAAACACGACTTATGTTCATTCATAATTAAGATACCAATCACAAGCTCGTGGGAAGATCTGAGCTACAGAGAGATTATCATGGGGGCAGTACCAACACAGAACCACTATAAGTATGAAATTGCACCTTAACAGAACAAAAACACATTATTAAAACAAAAAGACATTTGACATGAAGTACTGTGCTAAATGCCTATCCCTCCCTGTACATACGATAAGCAAAAACATTGACAGACAACAGTAGTCGACAAAATGACGCGAAAAATTCTACTCGATTCATAAAGACTCATCCAAGACATCAAAACATGCCTTATCTCCATTACTGACTTCGAAAGGTCTCATCACATTAAAAAAGTTGTGCAAATTACCTCATCGGTCCCTTTCGAGATAACCACTGTACACAAGAACAAACATCTTGTAAGTCATTAACAGGATATAGCAGAATGAATTACTATGGAATTGCAGCATCGAAATCCCCAATAACATACTAAATAAGTGCTGTGTCGGCTTATTTCGTCGATACCTTGAAGCAAAACACTCTCGGTCGATGGTTGTCAGAGTACGAAATGTGTTTCACCAGTAAACACCGACCTCCTGAACATCATCTTGTAGTGTACCCTAGTGCGCATCTATAAGATGCAAGTTTGAGACCCAGCGTTTATACAATCCACATCCAAATCGACATCTGTCTACCTAACTATATGTATATACATGTATATATTATACACGTGGGGTTCGCCTGACTACTGCGAAGGACCCTAGTCTTGCTAACTGAATCAAAACGAAATGAGCACTAGACTTTCGTCACCCACCATTTATTCTGTAGCATCTTTTCAATACGAGCACCGACTTTGCGTAAACTATTTCTGCAGGTAGGTCATTTCCCGTTTTCGGGTTCAAGCAAGGTTCTGATCAATTGCTACTCCCACCACATGGTAGATAGACACTGTTTCCTAACTTTCTCACATTCAATAACCTATCTACTAAAGCCCTCTCATGTCGCAAATATTTGGTAAAACTAAATCTTCACCCTGAGACATTCGGGACACATGAACATAATCTACTTGCTACACACTAGGTAGGTATCTCTAAACTTTCATAGGGCACCTATAGCAACGTTGAAATCTCCACGTACATAAAAGTTTCTGAAGATAATCTCTAAAATATCTCCTGCACAAAATAACTTCACAATCCTGTTAGCGCCCAAGTCCTAGGAGTATATACCATTTAGCATCGTTTCCGACTGCGTACCAGGTCTTTTGAGATTACAACCTAGTTTTGCTCTGTAAGCCTCTGACAAACTACTTTCTATAGTCTAGGCAACAGCATTCCACATAGATGAAACATGCCAGCCACTCATTCCGGAATCAATAAGGCCCTTTCACAAAAAATATCACATCAGTTTATTTGAGACTAATAGTGTGTACACTATCAGAACACCGGGCAAGCTGAATTTTAGTTAAGATATTGTTAGATCCATTATCCAACCAGGAAAATATCCCGTTTATGGCACTACCCTGACTTTTAAATGAACTAAACTGAGACCTAAGCTGTGATTTTTTGGTTCACTAAATACGCGATTACCTTGAACAGAGTATAATTGATTTTAGCTTCATAAATCTGCGGGTCTCCCATTCAACATATCAGCCGGATTAGCTGCTTAAAACTTGTGTAACCGCTATAAACCTGCCCACTGAATGGTTTACACCCACGTGCTCCTCCTAAAACCTAAGATATATCAACCAGACAATCTTATGATCGGAGACCGAGGGTGAGGCTGCACCGCTCGCACTGCATCGCTCGTCCATGTCCCACATGGACGACCAGTTCATGTTAATGCTGTCTACCTAACTAAACCTCAATCCCGAAAATAGCACACTCCTCCTACAATCTTTCGGTTTCGATGGTATGCATTTCTCTTGCCCAGTAGTAACCTGGTGAGATCTCAATCCGAAACTTCTCGGTATCACACCAGTCAGTGGCTGTCTGTGCACAGTCTGACTGAAAAGACCGGCGACCACTTGCCAAACTTATGTGGCTATCTACTTGTCCCCCTGTCTATGCCCTCACTGACAGCTGTCCGGATAGCACACAGGACACGCCCTACTGAAAACCGTCATGTTCAACAGTATGATCAAAAGGCTTCGAGAGCTGGTTTTGACTGTCCAGTGGCACAACCCTACTCAGGTCCCAGTGTACTAGCATAATTTGAGGCATTCGGAAGCCGTTATAGTGGTTTGAGAGGGTAGAGGCAGCAACTGTATTACTCGCTTGCATCCGCCATCTATTCAATTCAGAGAAGGCGTAACGACCACTTCGTGAACTAGTTTGTGAAGTATATAGACGAAAAGTCCGTAGCGAAGGGAATCGATGCATTTTGAGTGGAAAAATTCCGACTGTTAGTACGATCACGGACGGCAATGTCGCTCGACATATAACCAAAGTGAAGGACATCGCTCAAAAACCGATTTATAACACACCAGTTTATGGCATCGTATTTCATGTAATCAAGTCCACTACTCCCTCACATATCGCATAGTAAGATCGAAACAGCAGGCGACCGTTAATAAACAACCAAACCATTAAACTGCTTTGGAATCGGATTCAAAATAACGCGCTCCGAATCCCTATGAGGTGAAGCTAGTGCACTGATTCTCTATGTACAAACTTTACTACACTTGCAGGGACCGACCTACCAATCTCAACTGATGTTTCGCCACTCCGCAGCTAACCATTTGTATATGGCAATGAGCGCAGCACAAGAGGGATGCAGTAACCTGAAGACCTCAGTAGAGCCAGACCTCGTCTGAACTACTTCAGGGAAGTCAGGTATGGTCGCTGTGGACCGCGAGACAAAACTTATACAGGAAGTCTGTACACTGAACTAACCTTTCCTTGACCATGATATTAGCATGTCAAGGTGAAAACCATTTGGCTAGCGAAGGATACCAACGAACCATTTGTCCCATATTGTGATATTGAAACACATTTTACAATCTACGCGGTTAGGCAGTTGGAACATAGTGATTTGCCGACGCAAACATCAGACTTTAAGAATACCCAGAAAAACACTAGGATAGTGAAAGCTGCGATAAGCTAACTGTCACCTGAACTGATTTCCTGTGCGCTGACAACAGGACTACCATACTGATCGTTTTTGAGTGACATCCCAGAAATGTAAATGTTGCCCGTATCACAAGTACATGTACAACCAAAAAACAGGAAATGAGCATAGAACAGGAGGAATATCCTGGCTATGAAGTCAACGAGCCCAGGGTTTGCAACACTCAACAATTGCCTTACGCATCTCTTCGACCTGATTAAGTACTCACGATCAAACAGTCCGTCGGACGAAATACCCGTCTGCACACTGCATTTAACCAGCACGCAATAATCCACGCCATCAAACCAGAAAGCCGAGACCATGATAATCCAACGTGTACTGTACAAAATGACACAAGTTAACCGAACAAGTCGAAACCCATAGATTCATCTGATTCGTCTTCAGAAACTGGCTTCTTCTCCTCCGCCTTCGCAGGTTCTTGGGCCTTGTCAGCACCACCACTAGCAACCGCTGGAGCCGCAGACGGTGCAGCTGCTGCGGCAGATCCCATAGACATCAACATGTCCTTGACGCTCCTTCCATTCAAACATGATGCGAAGAGATTAGGGAGGTAGGGTTCGACAAACTTGACGTTAGCAGCCTTCAGTATGGTGTTTATCTTGTCAGCTACAAAACATAAACAACCATGTGAATATGAGCACAGGAAATGGTACAGACAAAACAATGAATAAAATTGGGTAGGAATCATGAAACAACTCCAGAAAACTTAATGGATAAGCATTTACTTTCCTGGGTAACTGAACCACCCCTAATTCGACTATATATATAACTGGACTGTAACAAGCAAAACCAACCTTAAAACCAAGAAATAAATTACCTGTAACATCGACATCATCATCAGCTAGCATCAATGCAGCATAAACACATGCTAGTTCGCTTTTAGACATGTTGAAAACGTGAGCCGTAATATACCTTAGCCACGAGGGAGCACCACGTTTGTAAAGCAATAGTCGGTGCGTTTAAACAACACCAGTATAGAAACAGCTTCAACAGATTCAATGAATGCAACTGTGAGTTTTCCTTTTCGGTTTTTGAGCACCTGAGATTTCGTCCTGATCAAGAACACAGGAAGAAGCCGAGCAATTTTGTGCGTAGTCAAACTTTTGATGTCGCTGAAAGCCATAGGGTAGCTCCAAAAGTCGAAGGATTTACGGTAGTGAAAGCAATGGACAAATAGACAGGAACGGATAGATACTTTTATACCTATCCACGCATGAAAAGTACTGGAAATGTGGTTGAAGTAGCAGATGCAATGATATTCGTTGACGGACAAGATGCATAATGAAGTTAAGTACGAAATTTCCAGGGCCCTACAATTCATACCAATACATGAGGAACATATGCAAGATTGTAAGAAATGCGATGCACCACATTCGTTGAAGATGCCATCGAAATGAAGTCTCCTGAACGCCTCAATCGGAGACATGAATGTGTTCACCATACTTTTCGCACCCGACGAATGTAAGATGACCATGTTCACCTATGCACCTCACATGGTAGTGAGTGAGACTGGTCCACCGATCCCCTTGAATTCCTTGTGTGTGTTTCTCGTTCATTCTCTCTGTTGTGGAAATCCTGCTGACTTGCTTCATTTCACAGATAGTGTCCCAGCAACTACAGTGTCTCGAATAAAATTGACAGTTGCAGTCACTCTTATTATGGGTGTAGTAAGAACGTATAAAAGAGCCAGTGGGCCCTGATGGGTGACAACTGATAATACCTAGGCCACCGGCAGCCTTGGGAAGGCAGCACCACACATCTGTTTGGTGCTTTGTGCATCAGACTAAATGTCAAAGTATTTGGCAGTGGTCCATTACAGCAATCACCAGCTGCTTTACAGGTGTGCGGGGCGTGACACAGACCACATAAAATCTGTAAAATGGCATACCGATTACGACTGCTCAAAGTTCATCAGGTCATTTTGACCGAAAGGAAATTCGCCACGTAACCAACCCGCTCCTCTCCCTATTCACAAACATATGTATATGTGTGTTTGTAGTCATGCCTCATCGCGTCCAATATCCACTATCTTTTGAGAGCCGGTGTCAATCGTTTCGTTTCCCCGAGCACACCTCTAGGTTTTGAAGAACGGTTCCAGATTGTTGGTGGGTTCTGGTGCTGTAGGTCCACCCACCTGCGTGCTGTGGCCCTGAATTGCCTGACGGGCGGTTATGCATTCATCAAATTCGTGGGGATTGTGCAATTTGTCTAATCCTAATGAATGGGGTGAGGTAATATAGTCAGAAGTAGGAGAAGAAGGAGGCAGGATAAAACGGTGGATTACGGGAACAAAAATAGTAATGTTATCAGTGAGGGTATGGGAACCAGAGGAGACGCCTAACAAGAGGATATAAGGTTAGGTTAGCGATGAATTCGAAGGCATGAAAGATCCAGTACGGGGTTGACTGATCTGGGTTGTGTGGAATTTGTAGGCTGTAGCAAACCAGTCCGTATCCCAGCTGGATGAGCGCATACCATGCGGTGCTGTGGAGCAGTTCAACCTCTTATTGAATCTGCCGACAGACGGTTTGAGCTAGGGAATTCACACCATGTTACTAAGGGTTCCTGAAGTTGGTGGTAAATACTTCAGTGTAATAGGCTGCCTATTCTATCACGTTCAAAGTAACACCACAATTTTCCAAGCTGCTGCCCTTGATGTCAGCTTGTTGCAGACAAATCCAGAAGGAAGGAATAGAGAAATGGTGGAGACAGGTTTGATAGTAGTAGAAGCGCCTGGAGAGAGAATGTGGAGAGAATCCTTGTATGTCGGATAATAATTAGGCAACGTGTGGACGAATACAGAGGCAGAAGTGAGCAATTTAATAACTAATTTCGAAGTTACGCCGGGTTATTTTGATTACCTGAACTTCTGCTTGGCCACCTTAGATTTTTATTCCGAAACATTCCTGCTGTTGTCCCAAACTGCTCTGTTGCATGGTCCCAGGGATACCTTTCATGGAGTGTCGGTGTGTCTGCAGATGCTAACGTAGCACGGTCATCCTTTATTCCTAGGGGCAACGTAAAACACTACCTGCGTCTCTGTTTCTCCAGGCTCGTCTAAGGGCAAGTGAATGCTTAGTGGAGTCGGAGCAACCCGAATGCAAGCGCAACGTTCATCCGAGTCGCTAAATCATCTATTTTCAGATGACATTACTCAAAGAACGGCGAGGGCCTTCTCACCCAAACACACACCTGCTGACGGCCAAATTATTCATTTGGTATTCGCAATGAATGCAGGCCGCGCTGGCGACAACAATAATCAGAAACTCGGAGCCGTCAAACAACTAATCCCGGGTCTCCGAACCTTTGAAGCATAGTCACCATTGAAAGGAGGATAAAAGTGGCCCGGATTGGTACATGCTACTCTGGCTCTCAACGAGGGATTGGAAATGACCCGGCTAAACTGCCAGAACTCATATAACTACTCAGATGTGCAAACTATTCGGCGGCTTCCGGTGATTTACCACCGGGGTTTGATGCAAATGTAGGTATAAGCACCCCCCAAAGGTTTCAGGAGCGGCTTTCGTTTTGAAGTTGCAGAACGTAAACCGAACTCAGTGACGATAACCTTCAACCGACTGCCCATGATTTGGGCAGCCCTCGTGTTGTCGCGCGGTAAGAGGATACAGCCAGCCTGCTTAAGGTGGGGAGTCTTTTACTTGGTAACAGGTCTACGTCACCACCATACACTTACCCCGCCATTGACTTGAGAATATCCCAACTGGCAAGGTTAGAGCGGGAGTGTGAAACTGGGAAGCCCCACTAGGCTCTACCGGTGGTTCCGAACGATGGATATGGGTAGCTCCACACCTTTATGCTACCGGAGATATTGAAGTACATAGCCTCCAAGACTATAACAAAATTCTCAGGTACATGACTCTAACAGGCAATTCCAGAGTGCTGCTTCACCAATTGGATCGAAGACAGTGGCATATGCGGGGAGTGCAACAATCGTTAGCCTGAAATGCGCTTAATGGTGTTCGCGAATGTTGATGAGTGTGGACAAGTGGCCAGCATACCCACGACCTAGAAGAAACAGCCTGTGGCTCTCCGACCAGTTTCGCGAAGCCCTGCAGAATGAAAGCAGCCAAGACTTTAGGCATCACCAGTGGTGAACGAACACCCTGATGGTCACCACATACACTGCGTGTACCCCCTTTTTAAACATTATTAGAGTGCCGGAACCATTTCACAGTGATGGAGCACTTCGGTCTGTAGTATCTTTTCGAACGGTGGAATCAGTTCACCTCCACACTCAGTGAGGTTGGATTAGGTTGGCTGGGGTGGATTCCCTGAGGCGCTCCAGAACCCTGATTTCCTTATCAGCTTCCACTTCGTCAGATGAATCCGTGTTGACTGAAAACGATGCACATCACAGAGTTTGACGCTGCAAGAAACGCAGGTGAGCTGAGCTACTTTTCGGAGTGCTCCGCACGGGGTTCTAAGCATCTTTGAGTGTCAGTGATCAGTCTATCACCTACTCCACACATAACCCCTTAGACACTAGGTGTCCTTCTGCTTGTTACTCGGATGACCTGTAACGGCTACCAACTGTTACAGGGAGCTGCTGCAGCTCCCACCCCACTCTCAATTTCTGACCGATGGGCCTCAGTCATTGCACAGCTGCTGCTTGGCCTGTCGCGTAAGGGGCCTATGCACAACATTGCTCTGGCTGCCCACCAAAACACATTGACAGGCTCCAAGAAGATGAAGGTAGCTTGCAGACATTTGATGTTAAAAACAGGATGATATTCAAAGCCACACACAGCCTTAGTCGCCTTTTATATGGCATATCGGAGTGCCTCTAGGAATCATCTCGATTTTCTGGCGGTTCTAAAGCTGCCCCTCAATCTTATTTGATTCGTCACTGAGTCGCAATGCTGGGTACAACAAAATTGCTAACATCCACTGTTTGAGGAAGGAGATTTTGGCTGCCAAGAAAACGCAAAATTATTAGAGTCCAAGCGGGTGGTCCGGAAGAAGGGGCTGTCCTGAATACACCCAAGCCACCGGTGGCTGACAACAGCGTCACCTATTTGGGTCCAGGCTTGAGTAACAGAGGGGCGATGTCGGAAAGCGAAACAGCGATAGGCGCCCTGAAGGTTGAAACTGGTCAGAAACAAGATATGAACTCTGCAAATTTTCGGAAGACTTTCTCCGTTATCTGACCTGCAGCCCACAAATCTGCATCGGTCTCCGAAACTACCCGTCTCCAGGCCTAGACACTGAAACTGTGCATCTCGCTGCCTGGATAGTGCGGTAAAGTCAGTCAAGTGCTCCTAATTGAGGAGTTGACTAAGTCAACGATAGAACTCATTCCTGATTGCATCTAGACTGCTTTCAGGCACGGCATTCATCGGTTGCCATGTTAGTTACCTCCTATGACATTTTAAGCTTTTAGGCTGGCAACCTGGAGGTCTGTCTGTGATGATCCAGCCGAACGGCGCACCGCTGACTCTGAGACTTATGGTCAACAACACAGGTTGATGACGCTACGGATTGCTAGGCATGTGGATTTTGAACGTGACCTTTGAGTTGATATGCGCGGGAGCCAATCGGAGCATGCCACTGCCCCCTCGCATGTGGGCCTTTGAGGCAGAGCATACATCAATGGAGGGGGTTTTGATAGGACTGGCCAAAAAGATCTGTTGTTCCGTCTTCTTTAACGTCCAAATGTTGAAGCTGACCAGTGTGTGATGTGCAAGAGGTTTCGCAGCAGTGGAGCCCGACAGTCTACTGAAGCACGGCTTTCCAACAGCAACCCTTTTGTAACTGAGGAGGCAGCAGAATGTAGGTCGATGAAGAGCAAATAAGCGAAACAAGCATCTAAAAGTAACTTTTAAAAGAGTAATGAGATGATGAAGATTGTCCGAAACGTGTAGTGTTTTAGGGCTAAACATTTCAAACGATCTGGTCACACACGGACTTGCCGTAGATTTTTATGCTCCGGATACCCTTCGTCTTCTCAATACGCTGTTTGAATTT